AATAAAGATGAAAATGTTCAGAATGCAGTTACACATATATTTGTTTTGAGATAAGATCTCGTTGCCCAGGCAGGAGTGAAGTGGCACAATTATAGCTCACTGCAGCTTTGAGCTCCTGGACGCAGGCTGTCATCCTGCCTCAGCCTGCAGAGTAGCTGGGACCACAGGCGTTACCCAGTGTTTAGTGGTGTCTAAAGCATACAGTGTAGAGGGGCTGGGGTCAGCCTGTATCTCACTGAAACAGAGGTGGTACCTAAGAAATGTGGTATCATGGAAAAAGCAGTGCATTGAAGGGCAGAAAAATATACTCTGGCCTCAGTTCAGCCACTTGCTAGTTTAAGCATTGTGGTAGATTGTCTGTAAAGAGAGTAGGCAGCGATTCATTCTACCCTCATAAACACAAGTCACTCCCTCTATGAAGAGTGGGGTCTATTTCACTTTCCCTTGAATCTGGTTTGTGTGACTTGTTTTAACCAATAGAATGTGGTGGAAATGATGCTGTTCCAGTGCTGAGCCTGGCAGCTTGTACTTTGACCTCTTGAAAGTGAGTGACCCTGCTGGAGGGAGGCCCTTCTGTATCTAACACTAGACAGACCAGAGACAACTCTGTCCTTTGCAGAATCATGAATGAGTAAATGGTAGTGTTGTTTTAAACCTCTAAGATTTGGAGGTGGTTCATTTCATAATTATGGGTAACTAAACAGAAATTGAAACTTAGATGTGGAGTGTTGCTGAAACAAAAACCTAAAATGTGGGACATTGACTTTACTGCCAGGTGGCAACTAGAAAGAAGACAGTCAGTGGAGGTTGAAAGCAGTAAGGAATTTACTCTGGGGGATTGTAGAAGAGGTAACATATATCATGTAGTAGCAGGATGGTGGACATTGATGTTGCCTGCGGTAGCGTCACTGATAGAATATGCATGTGCCAATGAACTTGAGAATCTAGCCAAAGAGATTTCCAGGTAAAGTGTTTGAAGTGCCAACAGGCCTCTGATAGCTGCTTATGATAAAGGACAAGAAAAAAGATGCACTTCACACAGATCTGTTTGGTTTTCAAGTAGAATTCTAATCAGTGAAATATTTGCAAATTATAAAATACCCTCGGGATAACAATAAAATCATGTGTGTGTGACTATAAAGACTTTTATTAAGACTCCAAAAAGATTTAATGTGCTTTGAAGATCATCTCAGGGTCTTCTAAGAATCGCAATTTGAGTGCCCCATTGCAAACTTCCATATGAGTAGAGAGAGATGTTTCAAAAAAAAAAAAAAAAAGGATGTGAATCTTGGAGCAAGATTTACATAAAACTCATGAAGTTTTTGAGAACATTATATTGGGTATGAATTTTGAAGCATGGCATGGACCTCGATAAGATTAACAGAAAATCCACTTGGCTTTTAAGATACTTGTACTAATGAAATATGTGCCAGCTTACACACAGAAACAGTTCAAAAGGAAGAGAGGTTTTAGACCTTTACGTATTGGCATGAAGCAGACTGTGAGATCTGCTCAGCTACAAATACGGGCCACTCTTAAGGAAAAGGAAGGACGTCTCAGAGGATGGAGCGAGAGTCTAGAAGGCAAAGCCAAAAA